CGTTTGTGGACGAACATAATAACAGAGTCAGATCGCCCATTTAAATTAGTTCTGTGACTTGATTGTTCCTGTTAAGAGGAGGCCTACATGTAAACTAACCTAATAATCAGGAATGGGAAGCCCAGCAAGCAGGTCATCCGTTCATCTGTCGGTCCTCCTCCCTGCTTCCAGTTCCTCGAGTTTCTGTTTGATGGGGCTGTTGGAGCCCTGACGATGTCTTGAGGCAGGCTCATCAATCCCAGTAGAGCAATTCCCTCATCAGTCAGTGGTCCTCATTTTTCTGAAAGGATTCAAATGACGAAAGAAAACATTTGATTTATTGAGCTGTAACCGTGCCAGGGCTAAAAAGGGGAAAGACAACATTGAATAACCCCACAAAGCAAAGCCCTGCTACCAGAGCTCATTGTTTGTGGACGAACATAGAAGAGCGCCAGATCGCCCATTTTGATTAGTTATTTATTGTTTCTGTTTAAGCAGGCTACATGTACACAAACCTGATAGTCAGTAATGGGAAGCCCAGCAAGCAGGTCATCCGTTCATCTGTCGGTCCTCCTCCCTGCTTCCGGTTCCTCGAGTTTCTGTGTGATAAGGCTGTTGGAGCCCTGACGATGTCTTGAGGCAGGCTCATCAATCTCAGCAAAGCAATTCCCTCATCAGTCAGTGGTCCTCATTTTTCTGAAAGGATACCAGAACTCGTTGTTTGTGGAAGAACATTATAACAGAGTCAGATCGCCCATTTTGATGAGTTCTGTGACTTGATTGATCCTGCGAAGAGGAGGCCAACGTGTAAACTAACCTCAAGAATCAGTAATGGGTAGCCCAGCAAGCAGGTCATCCGTTCATCTGTCGGTCCTCCTCCCTGCTTCCGGTTCCTCGAGTTTCTGTGTAATGAGGCTGTTGGAGCCTTGGAGGGTTGATTTTCGTCCAGTCAAAGCAGCCTAGCTCATCCATGCAGTCTCAACTTTTAGATCATCAGTTTCTTTGATGAAAGCTGCAACTCTTTCCTAAGTGAACAGGGTTACGAAAACACTGGGCCTAGCCCATTTGTTACTGAAGTGAAACATTCCAAAGCATTATGTCTAAGCCTACCTGTAATTAGGCCACTTGATACCAAATAGAAACTAAAGGATTCTACCCATGTTTCCACTATTTACTTTTAAAAACAGACATGATCTTTTTTGTCATAATGCACACGAACATGTGCCGACGCCGATAGTGGCAGGTTGCCAATAAGTTGTACCCTTTCACAATGTACTTTGTGTGTGTGTGGGTGTGTGTGTGTGTGTGTGTGGGGGGGGGGGGGGGGGCAATGAGGTATTTTTGAAGGCACTTCTCGACAATGCCAACAATTTTGATGTTTTTGAAATGCCGCTGTATATAACTGAAATTCAGTCATTTTCTAAACAGATATTTTGTTCATAATGGTTTTCTTTTTCTCGTAATTTCGTCAATTTCATTTTCTTTTGCTGCCGTCATTTTCCCACCGTTTGCCAAAATTCGCTTTCCGACTTTTTGCAAGTACATGTACATGTATTTACTTCTCTCGTCGCGGATGATTAATTTTTATGCCGTTATTTTCGTCATTTTGATTTATTTCCATAACCCATTTTGTTTACTTTGTGGCAAGAAAAATAATACTGATTTCGGGTATTTTTACTCTCACTAACGCTGTGGTGTTTTCCTCGCGTTATTGTCATCATTTTCCTAGCGTGTAGGCCTACACGTAGAAAGCGGAGTGATTTTTTTTTCGGAAAAAAAATCGCTTACGATGTGATTTTTGCTACAATTTTTTTTGGACCGATTTGAATTTTGTTTTCAGTTTTCGTCGTACGCGTTGTCAAATAAATATCCGGGTAGGTATTGCAGTAAAGGTAAAAAAATAACACTGATTTCAGGTATTATTTTTTCCAATACTGCTAACATTTGAAAGTTGATTTCGTATTTTCGTAAATTTGAGGCTTGCCGCTTCAAACCCGTAACATTTTTTGCCCGACGTATTGCAGTTGAGAAAAAAATAACACTGATTTCAAGTCTTTCAACAACTGCTTCGATTTTGCTTAACGATTTGACATTTTCGTAGCCGCAACGATTAATTTGTTTAAAAACATTTAATTTTGTCTATTGTCAGAGACAACAGACGGATACCATTAAAAAAAATCACACCACACAGAGAGCAATGCACACAAAGGCAAAAATCAAACATGCAAAATTTACAATGAAACAAAATACAATCTACTTTTGAGTTTTTTTCCCCCAAAAGTCATTCTCTCTGTAAGCATTTTTTTACTCACAGATAAGTTTATCTTTAAATACTTAATAATGAACCGAGCTTAAAAGCTCTTCACAGAATAAAAATGTCTTTTATATAAATTTAAGCATAGTATAATTAACCAAAGTTATGACTTTTGATTTTACTACGATCATTAAAATATGGTCAACTGTCAACTGTGCCCTCACTGCTCACAGACTAGCGAAGTATAGACAATGCGGCGCTTTTACAGACGCTGTTTAATCCCAGATTTTTTGACCTTTTAGTGTAACTATAAGAGCGTATATGTCACTTTAACAGAGAGCTCATTTAGGAATTAGTGTTATTTATTAACCAACAGTTTTCTCTGTATGGCTATTTAAGTAGTAACGTCCTTCCGTGTTTTTGTTAAATGGTTTAAGTTTTGATGTTCAAGTTCTTCTGAAGGAAGGGGCCTCTTGGAAATCGGCGCTAATATGCACCGAAGAGGGTATCCCTTACAAGTGACACTGCACCAGGCATGGTCACTGTCAATTGCCGATGGCCTAGATTTTATGAATCTTGTTTGCTCTTAAACATTTTATACAATTATAAAGAAATTCTATCGTCGTTGGTGGACAACGCACCAGGCATTGCCACTTTCTGTAGTTGTTTTACTAACTTTTGTTTAATTATTGTTTTGAGTTGGGCAAAGTACCAGCCAATGTCCGTATAGAGGGCAGCATTCCAGTTGATGATCGATAAAACATCACAAAATGACTCTCAATCAATTACAAAATCGACTTTAAATTTGCGAGTGAAGTTTCTTAATAGCGAAAATAAAATAAAATACACCAGTACTTTCAAGTTTAGGGGGACAGTGTTATTCATTAGACAGATTTTCGTTTGCATTAAGTTAGTGTTATTTTTATATATATATATATATTTTTAGAAAACTTCTAAAACTCCCCATCGCACTGCCTGCAGGCTCAATGTGCGCATGCTCGCAGCGGGCTATGCAGGCTAATTTTCGTTTACTTCATTTTCCCTAACACTGTTCATTGCACCTTGCTAAACAGTTCCCTAGATTTTATCACTTCGAAGTATGGTACACGAAATCGCGCGATTACGCAGGTACGCGGATATGCGGATATGCGGATACGCGGGTACGTGGGTACGAAGACCAAGAGGAGATGAACATTATTGTTCTTATTTAGGGCCTACTACTATATACATATGACAATCACAACGTACGTACATGATACATCTAATTTATCATATACGTACGTGATAATATAATATTACGTACTAACGCAATATTAGTATTATTATTGCGTACATACCTGATAAATAAGTACATATTACGTACGTACATGTATTGCATATGTAAGTGATAATACGTGTATCCTTAAACGAGTATACGTTGTGTAGACGTACTTAATAATTATCACGTGGGCCCTACGTACGTAATAATTATCACGTGGGCCCTACGTGATAGTATTACCTACGTACGTGATAATATTCAAGTACGTGCGTGAGTTACGTACGTACGTGACAATAACACATACGTAATAGTATTATGAAAATGGAAAAAAAAATTATAACTCCCATGTCTCTTCAAGGTCTTCGTACCAAACCGTCTCCGGTCTAGCCAAAAAAAAACCCACGAGTTTGCCGAACATTACGTATGAATATGCCTTATTGTCGAACGGAAAAGTGATAGAACGCGGTGCGGAGGTTTCTAAACGCGTAGGTTTCTAAATCGCCGAATTTAAATGCCTATAACATTATCCTAACACTCCTACAGATCCAGCAGCTGCTTTGCTTTGCGGATGCTGCATAATGCACGCCTGCAGCGTCTGCACTCCTCCCAACTTGACCTACAAAAAAAACTAATTAATTGTTTGCATCACTTGCACCAACGTTTTGCCCAGAATGTTGATTAGGTTTTATATTGTTTCAATTTATTTTTTAGTTTCTGAGACTGAGGTGGAGAACGTCTTTTAACCTTCTTTAGAAAGGGAGTTACATAAGACCTGCAAGTCAATGTGACAATGAAGGAGACACTGTCACAGGTTTATCATTGAAAATACTGGTGTAAATTAGCGAGATGAATTATTCAGGGACAACAATTTGAAAAAAAACTTCCACTGGAATGCTACCCTTCAACTGTTCCACGTGCGAACGCAATGTCACTGCACGTATCAAATTCCTATGCAAATTAACTCACGTGCGAACACAATGTCACTGCACGTGTCTGACGAATTCTTTCGAAATTGTATTTTCTCCCCACGTGCGAACACAATGTCACTGCACGTGTAGGACGAAATATTATTCAAATTTATATTTTACGTGCGAACACAATGTCACTGCACGTACCAAATCCTATGCAAATTTTTTATCATTCGTGCTAACACAAGATTATATTCTACGTGCGAACGCAATGTCACTGCACGTGTAGGACGAAATATTATTCAAATTTTATATTTTACGTGCGAACGCAATGTCGCTGCACGTACCAAATCCTATGCAATTTTTTTATCATTCGTGCGAACACAATGTCACTTCCCCTGTGAGATGAATTCTTATGCAGTATTGTACGTGCGAACACAATGTCACTGCACGCGTGAGACGAATCCCTAATCACTTATTATTGCTTATCCCCAAGTTATACTTTATACACAAATAAAGGCCTTACACTTACTTAAAGTGACCCTAGATTTTGTAGGAGAACTTTATACACATGTACATTAACCAGAGACATGTAACGTACCTCTTTCTACTCTTGAAGACATTGCCCCTCTTGGTGTTGATCGGAGTAAATGGTAACGATGTCTTTGTTCATACAATATAAATTGGACACAATGTGCGCGTTCAATTAGAATAAACAATTTTATACAGAGCCAAAATGATAATTACGAACAGTGTAATGAGTAGCATGCAGTGAGCGTGAGGAGCACAACGACAGTAATGAAGGCCTAGCCCAGCACGGAAACAACAGCTTAAAATAAAGCCCGTGCACGCTAGGTCGCTGTACCATGGTGATCAGCGAGGCATGAATGTAACAATAGGGCTGGAGTCTGAGTGGAAATCTTCTGAACACGTTATTTGCATAATGTGCATTCAGCACAAGCCTGGGTTAGAAATGAGAATCGGATAGAATGCTAATGACGTAATCCCAATGGGCGATTACATCTTGGTCACGAGACTTACTTAGACGGGTGACACAGTTTCATACTACGGTCAACTTGAGTTGAAAACAATTGCCTGTTAAAATAAATCTGTGAAGGACGAAAACAAAATGCACTGCACCCACTTTTGGGGGTTGAATTTTTGGACTGACCGGTTACAGTCGCATCACCGGGGCACTTGCTCAATAAAAGGCATCTTCCGTTGGTGTAGCAGCGTATCCAGCTTTTTTTGGGGGGGGGGGGGGCACAACCGTGCTGAACTTGATGTCGACATGTTTTTTTCACCGGACACTTGGCCTCCGTAAAATCAAAGGGGGGGGGGGGGCTGGGCTGGTACCAAGTTTACAAAAATTGGAGCGCTCTTCGAAACCGGCCAAGTTTATTCTGGTTCTGTATCTGGTGGAATATACTGCATGCATTATCTCATCAGTAGGGATGTAATATGCAGACGCCATGGTGACCGAGCAGATATTTACATGAAGTTGTAGCGTTTTCAGATTATCAATTCTCAATTATCAATTCGTCTTAATTTTTAGTTAATTATCACACTTTAATTATCAATGTTCCTTTTGAACTTTTTAATCATTAATTCTCTTAAATGCATTACTCATTGTTTTCCTTGTATACACATACACCCACACAGTACCTATGCAATGTGTAGTCCCTATACTTTTATACAGAGCAAATGACCTTCACTGCCCACACACAAGTCTTTGGACAGTTTCTTAGTACAACCAACTTTACGGTAAACACAGTCCTCAACCAAATTGTGTATCGACCTATCCATTCCCCAACAAAGTGGGCCCCCTGATGATGTCATCTATGTTAAGAGACAGAAATTCTTTCTTAAAAATTCCAATGCTTGGTGCTTGACGTATTTCCGGTTGAAATTTATAATGTGCCCATTTTCAAGGCCCATTGTAGAGGTTTTAGGGCTCGGGTTTTCATATTCCCCGCTTATATCAGAACTCTCAGGATATACCATTTTGGGAAAACAAATTATCTGAGATTTTAGAGCCAGTTTTGTTTTATATATCTCGAGGGGGCCGGCAGATTTTATGCTCAAGGGGGGCACATTATGTCCGCAGGGGGGGGGGGGGTGCCACCCCGGTTTCGCCGCCCCTGGGCCCGAACTAGGGACAACTAAGACGTACTAAATAATTTATTTCACGACACTGTCGATGATCGCAATTTTTTCTAGACATTGAAGTTCTACAACATCGGTTTTTTTTCGCGACATGAAATTCACGATAAATGTATGGTGGTGTACGATAATGATCATCGGGAATGCAACGAAATAAACGGAGTTTTTTTTCTAATAAAGGTATACGGTGTGTGGGTGGACTATGGTTGACTGATCCAGTAAGCACCGCCCCATGGTGTTCTGACCAATCACAGCCGTGACTTATATGTCCGACGTGCTCGCACAAAAGTCACGCGCGTATGATGCGCGCGGCAGGAAAATGCAGTGTGGCATTCGATAGAAGCACGTGTTAATATTGCCCAGTGCGCAGTGGGCGGGGTTTACTCATAGAGTTATATTAAAAAAATCTAGAGAGCGCACTCATCACTTGACCCCGTGCTGGCAAGGACATTTTGTAAGTGGGCAAAGCACATGCGCACAACACATAACGTTAGGCAAAACAGCACGGTAAAACAAGGCATTGTCGGGGGGATTTATAAATGGAACCAGTAAAACAACAAGATACGCATTGCAGTCAATCCTGAAGTGTGCACATCCGAGTATTTTTGCCCACTTACAAAATGGCGTCGAGGTCTACAGGGTGGCACGTCTGCATTGTGCGTGCGGTATAGTGAATGCGCGCTCTAGTTTTTATAATTTAACTGGGTTTACTGGATCGGTCCATTAATCCGGTTCGCCTAAAACGTCATACACCATAAGGCCAAAAAAAATAAGTCTCCGGTTTCTGGTATGGAGCTTGCCCAAAAAGTGGTGCGGCGACGCGGCTTTTTTTGTTTTTACCTGTTTTTTTTTTGCTTCAAATGTCGGCCGATGACTGCAAATGGTGCCCGACTAAACTTCTTGCAAATACATGGAGTCCAGAGAGGCCACATAAAGCTTATTCTCGATCATAACCCCATCTAAAAACACGTTAAAATTGTGCAGCAGCAGGATTCCACTCAAACCAGTGAGTTTGGCGGTTTGAGACATCATCTTTCATTGAAAAAAAAAAGTTTTCATTTTGCCGACGCGCATGGCTTCGGCGACGCGCGCGCATACCAGAAACCGGAGACTTTTTTTTTGGCCTTAGAGACACACTCTTGGGGAAAATGGTCCGGTTAACATGGTTAGCTTATTATGATGGGACTTGAGCGTGATCAATTGAGCGTCAATTGAGCGTGATCGGCTAACTGATGAGGTTTACGCACAAAACCCCGATCCCACGAGGTTTTAGAAAGCTGTCGAACCACATTTTGCGAGAGTGTGTCCGTAATGTATTAATGACTGAGATATTGGTTTGGAGTAGACAGATTCCAGATTTGATGCATCCATTACCAGTGGAATTAGCGGGGGGGGGGGGGTTGTATACAAAGAAGAAACACATCTTTGTCTCAAACACAAAAATTATCTCAAAAGTACATGTAGTCAACTTGTTTTAGAATATAAATCCTGTTAATACAGTTTCAGTCAACTCATGCACAGCATCATCGTACACTGTCAGATGAGGTACTCAAGCATTTTCCCTGAATTATACCAGATTGGTTCCATTAATCAGCGAATAAACTGCTTTGAAAATGTTCCATATCTGCATGATTTACAAACAGAGAGTTATATTCTAAAACTCTATGTTTACAAAAGAACAAAAATGTTAGCGCTACCTATCAGGAACGTGGTGGCGCCCTTCCATGAGCAGCTAATTCGTGTTTCACTTTTTTCAGCAGGTTGTCCGATCTACGATCCACTCCAAAACATTTTATGAACGTCGTTCGTATAGCCGGCCGTAGTCTTGACAGTTGAGTCATGTAATGTCTGTGAAGTGTGAATGTAACTTTAGAAAAAGAACTAAGTTTTGTAATGTATTGATACTCGATCGCTTCAAAAACTAAGACATCATTTTGACTTGATAACCATCCTTTGCTTTGGCAAAACAGTAATGTCTCTCTTAATGAAGTAACAACGAATTAAATTCGACAAAAAATGGTTTTGTCGCAAAACAAAGAATGATTCATGACAGGTGGTCGAACGCAGTACGTCACGTGTGAAGTGTCAATCGAATCGGTTCAAAATGGCTGCAGACAGGTAACGTAAACCTCACCTAAACATGCTAAAGCTACAAAATACTGTTAGTAGTAAACTGTGGCACAATTGCAATGCATTATTACTTAAGAACAAAAATAGGGCGATCGTGTAGTAGTGTAGGGCCCGGGAGCAAAATCCACTTTAAAATCGGCCTAGCCTACTGTCACTGCTACTGTAATCTGTACCAAACTAGGCCCCAGTTCAGTCATGTCCCTTTTTTTTTTGTCAGTCATGTCAGTTGGCAACATTCTCAATAAACAGGTAGGGGGCCTAGGGCCTATAGTATCATGTCATACATAGAGCCTGGGTAGGGTTTTGATTTTTTGAGGGAAATTTGGGGGTAAAATGGCGATGATCGCAAGGCACAAAATGCACAGGAAAATCGGGGTTTCGAAAAAAATTCCATACTCGATCACCACGTTTTATTCGATTAATTTTCAAGCACCAAAAGTTGTATCCTTTATGGTTATTCCCTTCACTTTCCCTCCTCTACTCTCACCCTCTCCTTTCCTTTATTCCTATTTATTAATCAGTCACTTACTTCATCGAGATTCGAACCTCGGACTCTTGCTTGAAACACGAGACTCTTAACCGCTAGGCCACGCACGATCGCTGTTGCAATAATCAATCTTTGGACGTATTTGAAGTAGCCATTGACATAAACTAAATATTCGCGAACTCTCTCCCTTCCTCACCTCAAGGGTGACCCCTCTAAGAGTGAAAAGGAAGGTGTATGATGCATACGTGTGTAAGAAAATGCATGACATACGGGAACGAAACATGGGCAATGAAATCGTCTAGTGTACAGCGCTTGGAAAAGGTTGAGATGAGGATGGTGAGGTGGATGTGCAGGACATCACTACATGAAAGAACGAGGAATGAAGTCCTCCTTCAGTCAGTGGGCCTGATGGGGGTAGCAGAGGTTATGAGGATTAACAGGCTTAGATGGTATGGACATGTGGTTAGGAGAGAGGCAACACACTGGCTCCAGAGAGCTTTCAATTTTCAAGTCGCCGGAAGAAGGCCTCGTGGGAGACCTAGAAAAACCTGGAGGGAAACTGTAGAAGAAGATGCCAAAACATCTGGTATTGCTCACATGGACCCCACAGACAGGAAAGCTTGGAGAGCAGCCATTAAGGAAATGAAATGTCCAACCCCACAAAGTGGGACAAATGGACTCTAAACGCTGATGATGATTCATGAGAAAATAAATATTTATAATGACGTATTGCACTATCATTGGCCGGCTCATGCGACGTCATGCAGGCATGCAACTTTTCCTCGGATCAGCTGATTTCCTCTTTTTTTACTTCCCATGTGTGCCATTGAAAATAGAAAAACACTGAACAAAGTCTGGGAAAAATTTGAATTTCCTCTTTTTTTGTGATTTCCCAGTTGCATGCCTGGTCATGGTTGTCGATGTCATGCGTATAACGTACCGCTGTTGACCGGCTGATCCAACTTAGTTATGCACGACGTGAGCATCCAAAATGTGCTCTAAAAACACATTTTGCCTAACTTTTTTTCGAATTTACACAGCTTCCTCGATTCCTCTTGGGTGAAATCACAAGGTGAGGTTACAATTAATATGTTTGGCAGCAGATAAATTGATGATCGAGTATGGACATTTTCCCGGGGTTTCTACCCCAAGAAACTGTTCAAAATTGCAAAACGGGTATCATTAGAATTGAGAAAAGTCTGCTTTTGATTGAAGGGGATTTTGGAGCAATAAAATTACATAGGGCCTATTTGACTCAAAACAAAACAGGGCCCCTACACTACACGATGGCCAAAAATAGGACGTTAGGGCATGGTGTAGGGTTTTTCATTCTTTATTTTTCCGCATAGGCCTAATTGTCTACACAATATTGTAGCTATATCGTCAGACCCCTACCCTAAAGCTACACGGCCCTTTTGCTACACATTTACCTTCAATCTGTATGTGACAACGCGCGCACGTATTGCAAGCGTTACCTGCGCAGATAATGGAGGGTCGAGGATACGAAAAGAAAAGTAAATGTGGATGGGGTCCCCAAGATCTGCAACTGCTTGTCGAGTAGGGACTCCCATTAGTATTAATTAACAATTCATAAATACCTCAGACAGTTTAGCTATTCCTATTGGTCGAGAGCTCGTCACGTGGCCGGTCTTAAACGGATGATAAAGACATGGCTAGCTGGTCTTAAACACTTTTCCAGTGTCACAATAAAATGTGGACTCCTAAAAATCCAGTGCCTCTTACCGTTTCATTGGTTGAACGTTCACAATCCTCACGTAGGCATGCGCAACACTACAAGCGAGTCAGAATTTTATAGTTCTAAATTCAAAACGCAACGCCCCAGGTGCGTTCTGCGTGACATCGCGCAGAACATGTTACGCGCATGTCAATCTCCATAAAAGGGTTGTTTACATCTTACTCGCCAGCTGAACACTCCATTATTTTGCTAGAGGGATGTTTCAAAAAGCATGAAGTGAACTTGTTGAACAAAATCGGGATTTTTTGAACGAATTATTTGATATTTTTTTACGGATAAGGTATTTATGAATGGGAATAAATATGTGCTCGGTCGGTATTAATCACTCTGTTTAATACCGCTTAGAGTCTGGGTGCTGATAATTACCCTCGCCTCTGGCTCGGGTAATTATCAGCACCCAGACTCTAAGCGGTATTAAACGAGTGATAAAAACCTCCGGAGCACACATTTATTCCCTTATTACATACTAACACAAAATACATACAATAAGACAATAAACTAAAACCAAAAAGGACAGTAACTTCTTGTAACCCTGTGTGTCATGCGAATAGACTTTATGTGTAGAGAGTTTATATACCTAGTTATTGCATGTACCGGTAGTTCGGCTTTATATTTTTGTTTTAATTATGGAAAATTCCATATAGTAAACAAATAATGAATGTTTGTGAGTGCAATGGTTAGAATAATTTCATGAGGTGACAGATGAAATGTTCCATTCCGCGAGGCGAAGCCGAGTGGAATCATGGAACATTTTATCTGTCACCGAATGAAATTATTCTTTCCATTGCACGAATGTGAAACATTCATTACTTGTTTTATATATCATGTAACACCTGAATAAATCCTTGTCATCTGATTGGTTGACTTTTAATAGCCAATTTATTCAGGTTAAAAACTGGTTAAAAGTGCCACAAGTTCATCATATCTATATTAATGCAAACTGTTCGACAGGTTAAGAACAATCATATTCAATTTATCTCGATTTAAAACAGCGCCACCACCAGCAGCAGCGACACCGTGCAATGGAAGTTCTATTCACAGTGCAATAGAACTTCCATTGCACTGTGCGCTGCGCGCCACGAGCGCGCCGTGCGTTGGTACGAATAATTCAATGACGTGATCAACGATCCACCAATCAGATGACTGGGATTTATTCAGGTGTTGTATAAAAACATCTAGGGAGTTGCACAGCTTGGGACCCTCGTACTTGACTGTATTTTGGGCGAGAGTGGTACGAGCAAAGGACTGATGATATTTGTTACACCGTCTGGTGAAATGATGGTGACTTCTTCATAAAACGTAGAATAAATTTACATGTACCGGTAGGTAATTTGTTATGATTTAGTTGGTGCACGAAGGTCCCAAGCTGGAGAGATTAACTATCTTTTACTTTGAGAGTTAGTATTTATAATATTCATTTCTTTTGGTTATGACAGGACGTCGGAGAAGTTGTCTCCGCTCCGGAGTTTAAGCAGTTTTAAATCAGAGATTCCACTAACAATGGAGGATACAACAAGACAGAGCAGCGCCAAGTCGTAAGTCATTCTCACAAAATGTTGGTCACCTCACCTGACATGCTTTATATACCTGACAGTTGACTGTTGATGTTTTTTTGCAAATTCACCGTATTGTAAAAATGGATATATGCGTTGTTAAAATGAATATCATTTGATTCAATGATGATTTACAATTTAACAAAACATGGCCATTATTAGCCCCAGAAACAAGGGTGGCTGAAATACTAGACTACCTCCGTATATTATCAGCGTCAAAAGGCCATGTGCGTGAAAGGTCCCATTGCTAGGGGAGCAGAAAATCATTTTGTCACTTTTATGTAATCACACAATCATGTCTAAAACTGCTTAATAACAAAAAAACCTGTTGACTTCATTACATTCAGAGGTCTAGTTATCTTGTTATTTCGGGTTGAATTCGGACGAATTTCTGCAAAGACGTCATGGCTTGTGATAATCGCGCCCTCACTAGCTTGCGTCAAATTTTGGCAAAGTGCATCGATACGGCTGTTGCCTGTCATTCAGTATTAGCCAAAGTGCGCTCGCATGCATGCACTTATGACCATTATGGCCTTTTGTGGCTGATATACAGAGGTAGCCCAGGATTTCAGCCAAAATTTATGGGGCTAGGCCATGATGGCCATTCATGCCACATTGCCATATTATTGGCCTTGTCTTTTTATCAGTCAAATATTTCAACTGTGACTTCAGAACTGTGATGTTTCATCTTTTGGTTTAAAAATCTACAGTGGTGGATAGGGACAGCATGAGACTTCATAGTCAACCAAAAATAAAATCTTTGAAGCATACATGTAAGAAATGTTACAGAGGGGAACTCAAATTTCCCTCACAAAATAGAGAAAAATGCTACTTCAGTTTCTCGAAACTTCAATCCTTGACAAAAAATTAATCCAAGTGCAGTAGAAGAAAAGCAAAAACTGTTTCTGAAAGCTTGGTTTGTCTACACTCCAAGAAACAATTATTTAGGTCTACTTGTAGAAAATGTACTTCAAAAATTCATGAGTTCGCAACTCTTATCCGGAATTAACCATGTTTAATATATCGTATTTATTGGTGACCAGTGACTGTAAGGCCGAGTAAAAAAAATAATAGTTTCTTGTCCGCCTTTTTGAAATAAAGAAGGAGGCAGGCATTTAAGAAAAAAAGAAATTTCACCAAGATGGCCGATGTTCCAAGATAGATGAATTATTCAATTTTCTCAACTATTACGCTGATTGTGTGTCCAAAATACATGTAGTCCTAATCCTTTCTACATGTGTAGCTACAATTTTGTTGCAAGCAAATCAAAAAGGTAATATTGACATGATGCATTAATTATGCAAATTATAGTGCAAATGTTTGAATTAAAAAAAATAATTGAACATGTGCATGTAATAAGCTATTTGCGAGTGACCTACAGTATACCCTTTGGGATTTAAATTTGAAAAATGTCTGTGACTTTTAACTGTGAATTCTCCAGACCAAATTCGGGGCAAGCTCTTGCATAGTTTCGTAAGAGATGCTCAGCACCAATTCATTGTTCACAATGGGTGAGAATGGCACAAAGACACCAGACCATGTTGGAGCTGGGGGTTGCTAGCATAAGGCTTGCCCCAAATTACGTGATACATGTACATGTAGGCCTATAGTAACAGTCTCTTTAGTCGGGAAAATGCAAAGTTAAAATGTGCAAAGCATTGGATTAAGTCAGCGTTCCAGATGTTATGCTACATTGTAATTTATCTATGTAACTCGCAAATGGCTTACTAACAGACATTCATAAATTATACCTCAGACAGTTTAGCCATTCCTATTGGTCGAGAGCCCGTCACGTGGCCGGTCTTAAACGGATGATAAAGACATGGCTAGCTGGGCCCAATTTCATAGCACTGCTTAACAGTAAGCAGAAAAGTTGTGCTTACTATAGCAGAAAATCATGCTGCTGCTTAAGCACTATTTCATGCTAACGGTTGCGCGCGCATGGAGATTTCTATTGTTACGTCACTGATTTAAGCAAAGTTTTCTTCTGGGGTTAAGCGTGCTTTTGCTGTGCTTACTGCTTAACGGTCCCTATGAAATAGATGGTGGCTCGGTAAGCACAAAGTCAGCTGTTAAGCAGCGCTATGAAATTGGGCCCTGGTCTTAAACACTTTTCCAGTGTCACATAAAATGTGGACTCCTAAAAATCCAGTGCCTCTTACCGTTTCATTGGTTGAACGTTCACAATTCTAACGTAGGCATGCGCAACACTACCAGTGAGTCAGAATTTTATAGTTCTAAATTCAAAACGCAACGCCCCAGGTGCTACGCGCGCGTCAATCTCCATAAAAGGGTTGTTTACATCTTACTCGCCAGCTGAACACTCCATTATTTTGCTAGAGGGATGTTTCAAAAAGCTGGAGTGAACTTGTTGATCAAAATCGGGATTTTTTGAACGAATTCCTTGATTTTTTTTTACCGAAAAGGTATTTATGAATGGGAATAAATATGTGCTCGGTCGGTATTAATCACTCTGTTTAAGACTGCTTAGAGTCTGGGTGCTGATAATTATCCTCGCCTCCAGCTCGGGTAATTATCAGCACCCAGACTCTAAGCAGTCTTAAACAGAGTGATTAAAACCTCTCAAGCACACATTTATTCCCTTATTAGAGATACTGCACATTGTACCTTGCTGTGTAGTTGCACAATGTATGCATTTCTAGTTGTCATGGTTACATGCACCGGTAGTAAGCTGTACTATGAGCATTCACAAGAAAAACACAGGAAAATGAAATGTGTTTGGCCTCATTTAATTATATGTTTAGGACACAGTGCCATAGCTCTACTTGTTTAATGTTTTACGAATGTGCAAACAGGCTATATACAAATTTATTGTCTCGCAAATGCCGTATTATTGACAATCTCACTATATTGCACTCACTCTCTGTATACAGCTCAGACCCAACAATTTTAGAGGATTGAGGATGGTTCTTAGCAAAAATGGCCTTTGAAATGAATTTCTGTTTTTTTCACAAAAATTTATGAACATCACAATCAATAGCCAAAAAAACCCCATTATTCAGTTATTGGGTTTTAAGTGGTAGGAAAAAGGCTGAGGCTTGTGCAAGGCCTGATTCCTAACATTTTCATACACTTTCTTTGAAACACACAATATACAATTTAGGAAACGAATTGCAATGAGGAATGAAAGAAACCAATCACCTGATAAAAGGACAATTAAAATGCAATCAAATGCATTGTAAATGCCGTACTGGAATTTTATAAGTATATTTTTTTCAGATTTTTTAAAAGCTGTACATATATATCGAGCTGAAAATTGGCAGGGCCTACATAGAGTTTTAATGATTCCAGAGTAGAGGTTCTTGATGTTTGACTGTTTCCAGTGGTCCTCGCTTTCCCCAATATGAAGAATACATTTTGAAAAGGAACCTTGGGGCCTACTCTTGAGCTCGGAATTATACTAACTGGAGAAACTCCATCTTTGCGCTGACTCGTTACATGTTGGGTGAAAGTTTGGTAGGTTTTATTTTTCTAGGCACCGTATTACTCGCAGTTGGGAACTAAAAATATTGTTTTCATGAAAGTACAATTAAAAAAACCCCACCAATTATTAGAAAAAAGATCTACATGTACATCAAAATATTGTCATCTACCGTAGCTTCATGTGTAAATTTGTCCATGTTTGTAACAGTACACTAGTATCACTTTGAGAAATTTCTATAGCCATGTGTACATTTTACACTCATGAGTGAACACCTTTATTATTGGCTAGACATGTCCATTTACATACACTGTACATGTATGCCAGGTAATACGTACACATACTGGGGGGGGGGGGGGTGATTAAGTAACACCTGGTGGTTGTGCAGCAAACTGATGAAACCAGGAAGCTAGCGAGAAAAAAAAAAAAACCGCATGATTGAGTGGGATCAGACTTGCTCAGTATTCTCAATGAGTGCTTATTAATGCGCCGAGTGCTGCACCTGCACTGGTGTACGTATATTCTGCGCTACTTGATGACTAATATTTTGCGCAGCAGATTTTGCGCCGCGCCAGATTTTGGGGTACCGTATGTCATGGAACTGGTTCGTCAAAAGCACTCCTCTGGGTTGGTGTTTAATTGCCTTGGAGATGATTAGATTCGGATTTCTGGAATTTAGTGTTTAATCTTGTGATGGCAAAATCTCGGCGGCGGCAATCAGTTGGGTCATATAAAAGGTAAGATTCTGGTCTGGTTTAGATGTTATCTTGCATGTTTTATGATTTGAAACATATTCTACAGGTTGCAACTCTTTTAGCCTGTATTGATATGGTACAGTGTATTGTGTGAAAATAAGGCAATGTTCTTCGTAAGTTAACATAACAGATACAGACTTACATAATCCATGGAAAAATTCAAATAAACTTGTTAATGTTATCGCTGTATGTGTACGTGCACATTGTGTCTGTTATGCTGACTCATCGCGTGATACGTTTTTGAAATTGACACATTGATTTTCATAGAGTTACAATGTACGGTAGAAATGTTTTTGCTTTTGAATAGAGACTCATTGTCACCATGGATGCTATGAATAGAATCCATGGTGACAATGCATGCCATGTACATGTACATGTAGGTGTGTACAAGGAAGTCTAATTCTTAACACAAGTTTACATACATTTGTACGTACATGTATGTACGTTCATGTACAAGAAAGCATACGGTACATCTATCTTAGGCAGTTTATCCATATGTTATGAAGGGTAGACCAACCGTACGTACATTTATGAACATGATGAACATGTTCAGGTCTGTACATGTGACATTCACCCTAACTCCCTACTTCTTTTACTAAACTTACTGACCAATTCCTCCAAAATCCATCAATCACACTGCTTCCAATGCATGCTTTGTTTAAGGCCTCCAGGCCCAAGTCCATCATATTCCATCAATATTTAGTCAAACCAGGCCTGCAGGACCAAGTCCCCCAGAATCCATCAAAATGGGTAGGGTTGGGGCGGGGGGGGGGGGGGGGGGGGGC